TGTATTTTTTAATTTAATACTGCTTATTTTTATTATATTGATTTATTATTATCATTTGAGTTAACTTGACCATCATTCACAAGAATTGAGAAATCAGCACTTGCACAAGTATTAGTAAAATGATTTATGAGCTATGTAGGGCTGGCTACTGAACTTGAAAAAAGGAACCAAACAACATAGGGATGGAAGTGGACATATCACTTGATCCGGCTAATGATCATATAGCAGACTAAGTCTTTTCGAGTTTACAATAAAATCCTTACATTTGTCTATCGAAAGCTTGATGTTTGAATAGAATCTCAGCTTTCATCATAGTGGACATATCACTTGATCCGGCTAATGATCATATAGCAGACTAAGTCTTTTCGAGTTTACAATAAAATCCTTACATTTGTCTATCGAAAGCTTGATGTTTGAATAGAATCTCAGTTTTCATCATTATACCTTTCCTTTAATTAACATTAAAATACTACTTTTATGACTATTTTACAATAGACTAACATTTTACTATTGGAAATTCAGATTCGATCTATTTTGCCAGTAAGGAAGCCAGTAATGTAGGGGTAGGTTTTATAAAGATAAATATGGAATACTAGGCGATGATACATAAGGAAAAATATCCGTTGTTTTGTATTACTAAGATTTTCAAACCTATTCATCAACAATGTAACTATTCCGAAATTTTGGTTTTATATCGTGCCAAAATCTTTTTTTAAACTGTTATCATTACAAGATATCGTGGTTTTAAAAAGAAAAGTGATTACATTACTTAAACATGAGTACTCAAAAACTAAAATGCTAATTTCGTTCAAGCCAACAGTGTTTGTTTGTTTATGGCAAAGCTACTAAGAAGTGATATATTCGTCTCGAAAATTCTAAATCCGCGATCCGAACACATGTTTATGATCTGAGTGTATACATATTTTGCGTCTGAAAGGGCTGTTGCTACATACCTTTCCCCAAAACGATTAATTTTTGATAGCATCATACTACCTAAGAACACCAAATAATGTCAAAATATAGTTTTCATACATTCCGTCCCACCATAACTTTATATCGATGTGGTTGTCACGTGAATTGCTGACGAGCATATTACAAATTATTTTAACATAATGTATTCAACCTCTATGCATAGGCTAAGCAATTAGACGTGTCTCCAATCAAATCATACAGCATTCTAGTATAAGTACAAGCTCAACGTCAACTGTTGTCAGACATACGCATGCACGAAAAACCTATGCGTACAAGAGATGAAATTCCCAATTCTAACAGCCAAAATAAGTCATTGTTCAAAAGATATATTAATTCACTTTTTTTTTGCTTTTAAAGAACAAGAAAGGTAAGTCAAGAATATCGTGAATTTTTTCTTGACTTCTGAAGATTAAGCAAAGCATTTGATTATCTAACAAAGATTGACTTTAAATCACCAAAACTAAGCAAGACTGGCTGAAAGTCTAAAGTTTAAGTTAAGACATATGAAAATAAGAATTTGCTAGAACATTTTTATATTCAAACTGGATGTGACTGTATTAAACTACCCTAGACTTTCTACTGCCTAGTTCCAAAATACATTAGTACAGCGTCATCAAAACACTAACGTTTGAACTTTTTGATACAC